AAGTTTTTGGAAAAAATGTACTTTTAGGAGTATTTTTACTTTTACTTGAGTAAGTTTTTGGAAAAAATGTACTTTTAGGAGTATTTTTACTTTTACTTTAGTAATTTTACTATGCAGCATCACTACTTTTACAATTTCTGGATACTCACTGTGAGGAAGTTAGTTTTATACATTTTATTTTGAAAGAAACAAAAGGAAGAAAAGAAAAATGTTTATTTTGCTCAAATTTCATTTTTTTGTAATTATGTTATTTATAACATCCTGGAGTTAACTATTTATTATTGATTATTAGAAGAGTTGGGTAGTAACTACTTACTTTTACTCAGTTACTTTTACTCAGTTACATTTATGTAAGTTTTTGGAAAAATGTATTTTTAGGAGTATTTTTACTTTTTACTTTTACTGGAGTAATTTGTTATGAAGTATCGCTACTCATAGTAAAATTTCTGGATACTCACTGTGAGGAAGTTAGTTTCATAAATTTTATTTTGAAAGAAACAAACAGAAAAAAAGAAAAACGTTTATTTTTGCTTGAATTGGTTATTTTGTAATTATGTTCTTTATATAAAATATTTTCATTTTAAAATACAAAAATTGAACCTTGCTTTACATTTTGGTCCTTTTGATGTCATTTTAAAATAGGAAATTATTGATGTATTGAATAGCCTTTTTTTTTTACCAAATACGTTTTTGTTAATACTTGAGTCACTTCTTGAATGGCTACATTTTTACTTTTACTTGAGTAAAAGTACATTGACGTACTCTTACTTGAGTACAATTTCTGGGTACTCTAGGACTATTCTTGTTTAAATTTATAGATGTTATAAGACTTTCTCATCTTTCTGCTGCCACTAATTTTATTTGATTTGTATTTTTTTATTGTACATAGACTTTATTTTGTTTTTAAATCAATAAACTTGAAATAAAAAAAATAACTGGGCTCTTCTTCATCAGGTGCTGACCCCGAGGACGTCATCCTCTCTGCCTTCAAAGTCCTGGACCCCGAGGGTACTGGAACCATCAAGAAGGAATTGTAAGAGTTATTATTTGATTTAAAGTCTGTTTTGTTTGCTGTAAAGCTGAGTGAAGCTTTGGAAACATCCTGAATCTTTATTTATTTTGTGTTTGCAGCCTGCAGGAGCTCCTGACCACTCAGTGCGACAGGTTCTCTCCAGAGGAGGTACGAATCAGTAAAAACATTCACAAATCCTCCTTATGGGCGATGAGTTGTTAGTAAAATGTTTTGCTTAAACATATTTCCAGCATTGACCGTATCTATTTCTCTTTAATCCTTTAATTCTTTCCTTTCCGTCATCATATAAACCTGATTCTCCTCCCTCAGATTAAGAACATGTGGGCCGCCTTCCCCCCAGATGTGGCCGGCAACGTAGACTACAAGAACATCTGCTACGTCATCACACACGGAGAGGAGAAGGAGGAGTAAAGAGAAAGCCAGGAGACAAGAAAGACAGCCATCCCTCTGCTTTCTGCCTTCCCTTTTTCTTTCCTCTTCCTCCCTCCCACCCCGCCCACCTCCTGTGTGAACCCCCCCCCCCAGGTGCCCGGCCGCTCACCTTCAAACCAAAGACTTGTCACAGCTGAGACGGCTCGGGCCCCCCCGGGGGGCGTCTATGTTTGCTTATGGGGAATAGGGATGATTTTTATTTTTATATCAATAAAATGATCCCATAACATCATTTCCAACCTGCAGCTTGCCTCAGACGACCTCTCTGTCCTGCCTTGTCTGCCTCATCACTCCATCTCTGAGGTGTTTGTCAATCAACCCTCCCAATTAAAAAACACAAGGGCCTCATTCGAAACTATGAAGAAGYCCTTTCTGGTGCGGGGTGAGAGTACTGTCAGGAAAAGTTAAAAGTAAAAAAAAGAAGTTGCATCCTTAAAGTGATGACGGCTTTCCTTCCTTGAAAAAGTGAACCCACGAGGCTGAAGGAACGGAGGGAACGGGACGAAAGAAAACATTCAAGTCTTCGATTTCTTTCCCTCCGCTCCTTCCTGCTTTCAATAAATCACCTTTTTTTTTCCATAAGCTGTCTCAAATTCAGTGACTAACCTTCATTGCCTTTCCTCTGTAATGAAAAGGGACAAAATGTGAATAAAATCACTTTACTTTTGTATGTCGTGTGCCTGTTCAGTGGCTCTGCAGCGGTTAAATTCAAGGTTAAAATCACCTAAAACTTAGTTAAAAATAAACGTTGTCCTTTTTTAATCTTTTGCATACAACAACCACAAAAAAACAAAACACAAAACTTAATATATTATGGTTTATTACTCAGCACAACTGTCATTAATTGTCATTAATTATAAATACATCAGTTTTAAATCTGAAAGGAATGAATTCAATCAGCTATGATTTTACTTCACTTTCACCAGAGAGTGACATCATGTAAACTAAAAAAAAAAAAAACTAAACACAATAAGAGCAAGCTGCACTTTTTTCTTTTTTTAGTTTGTATTTGCATCAGTCTCTCCCAAATCAAGAGTCACGAAGAACAGAGGGATGGAAACAAATCTTTTTGTTTCGTCTGCAGCTTGAGGAACGACACGAGCCGAGTGCACGCATATTGCTCACGAAATACCGCCGGGGAGCCCCCGGAGTGCAGGATGTTTTATTTATTTATTTATTTTTTTAATCAGTGCCGCCGCGCGCGTCAACAGTCATGGAGGAAGGTTTGCATAGATGTGTTTAAATTAAATCGCACGAACACGAGACGAATCGGTGGAGATGAAACACATCCGAMATGAATAAAACAAAAACAAAATGCACTAAATCTCAACTATGAAACAGTTAAAAGGTCAAGGTTTTTGTTTATTTTTTGCCACCAAGAAGGTTCTCCACCAACTATCCAGCACCGCTTACTGGTTCAGTGCTAACGGATGTATTATTTACCAGTGTTACAGTGAGTATAAATACATTAGAGTCCTTATGATTGTTAAAACACAAGCTGCTCAAACCGACTGAACACATGAACGCATCATTGAACCACTCCTAAGAACAGCACAAACACCTCCCAAATGGATCCCTCTCATAGTTTGAGTCTGTTTTAATACTGTGGTCCAACCGGCCGGAGACCCGTGAACACAATCCCACCGAACGGTCAACTTAAATAAAAGCAACACGCGTCTGGTTTGATGTGTAAAAGCAGAGGATATGACGTGCAAAGAAAAAGGGAAAACCAAGATCCTGCTGCAACTACACGCCGCTCCAGTCCACCAGACGTCTCCTTTTAGAAAAATAACAATTCATAATATACTATATCTGATTAAATAACCCACTTTGTACATAAATACACCAGAGGCTAATGCTACATYGACAAACCCGGAACCTACGGTTCACGCGGCGCCCTATAGGTCCTCGGGGTTTCTCCAAATGTTGAGACGTTTTTTTTTCGTCGCCGCACCGATTTGGTTCAGTGGCTCCAGTGCGAAAACCCATCCTTCATGTTTTGAGATGCTTTAACTCACATTCGAATGCTTTGATCGGTTCAATCAAAACTAATACTTATTTTTGCAGAGAAACGTTCAGGTTGAAGGGGAGGGAGCTGGCCCTTCCTCTCTCCAGTACGGGATCAATCTTGTGCCAGCAGGAAGTAAATCTGAATCGCTCAGATTGAATCTGAATGTGCAGAATTTGAAATTGAATGAATTGGTTTGAAAATAAATTTCACTAAACTGAAACTGAATTTAAAGTTTTGAATCTGAATTAATTTGCTTTGAAACTGAATTTTGGTTTATTAAAAATTCAGTTTGACTAGTTTCAGTTCCATAATTCAGATTTTTGTGTCACATCCTGGTCCTTGAGAAAGCCAGGCAGAGTAATCAAACACAGATCCACAGATTTATGTTTCACTTTGGTGAAGTTTCCCTTCTGGATGTAACAGAGTTGATGCAATCCACTGTAAAAGTGACAAAACAAAGTTATTTTATTGCAGTGATTAATTTGACCTATATGTAGAAAATGTTACATTTACATCATGGATCACATATTGATCAGATGCTGCTGACTGATCCATATCGAAGCACATTTCCGCTTTGAAAGAAAAAATAAAAGCCCAACAGGAAGTCATAATTTCGACTTTTAAAGTCGTAATTACGAGAATAAAAGTCATAATTTCAACTTTTAAAGTCGTAATTACGAGAATAAAAGTCATAATTTCAACTTTTAAAGTCGTAATTACGAGAATAAAAGTCATAATTTCGACTTTTAAAGTCATAATTATGAGAATAAAAGTCATAATTTCGACTTTTAAAGTTATAATTACGAGAATAAAAGTCATAATTTCGACTTTTAAAGTTATAATTACGAGAATAAAAGTCATAATTTCGGCTTTTAAAGTCATAATTACGAGAATAAAAGTCATAATTACGAGAATAAAAGTCATAATTTCGGCTTTTAAAGTCGTAGTTACAAGAATAAAAGTCATAATTACGAGAATAAAAGTCATAATTTTGACTTTTAAAGTCGTAATTACGAGAATAAAAGTCATAATTTTGACTTTTAAAGTCGTAATTACGAGAATAAGTCATAATTTCGACTATTAAAGTTATAATTACGAGAATAAAAGTCATAATTTCGACTTTTAAAGTCATAATTATGAGAATAAAAGTCATAATTTCGACTTTTAAAGTCGTAATTACGAGAATAAAATTATGACTTCCTGTTGGGCTTTTATTTTTTCTTTCATGGTGGAAATGGGCTTCAATAGATCCAAGATTCAGTTTCAATTTAGTTTAATTTATTTTCAAATCAATGCATTCGGTTTCAAATGATGCACATTCAGATTCAGTCTGAGCAATTCAAACTCAGTTCCTGCTGGCACAAGATTTATCCGATACTCCAGCTCCTCCTGGAGGACCACTGAGGTGTTCCAAGACCAGAAAGGATTTAAGATACCTCCAAGTTCCAAAAGGAGGCGTCCTAATCAGAGTATGAAACACCTCAACCTACCACATGTCTAAAAAAAAAATACTTTTTGTGTCATTCTTACGACAAAAAAAAAACCCTCTAAACTAAAACAAACCATAAAACCACTTCCATCTGTGTCTAACCCCCCCTCCCTTTAATATCAGTTCCACCTGTTGGATCGGTCCCAACGGCAGAATAAAGTGAAGAACCGCAACGAGCGGCTCCGTTAGTTTGAAATGACAGGAGAGAAGCAGGCATAAAGAGAACATTTACACGTTTCACGACTCTACTAAGACTCACAACATTTACCAAGACAATAAATACACCCTCCAACATCACAACAAGCGTTTCAGTCTTCAGTGCTGACTTTGAGATGACTTCAAGGGTTTTTTTCACCCAAATATCCAGTTATCACAGAACAGACGGAGTGTTATTTGGATCAGAATACTGAAGCTAGACCTCTTTTTCTTCTTCTTTTAAAGCCATGTATGGCACCATTTCTAAAAAAGTTTGCTTTATGACCCATGAACTGCCACCGGCCTGATCCAGAAACATAAAACTAAATAAAACCAAACATGAAAAGATGGACAGCTTGTGTTCCAGTTGAAAATGTTTGTTCTGATGTTGATAAAACTGAAGAGGAGAGAATCCAGTGAGCCAGAGGCAAACTGCTCCTCAAGCTGCTCATAAAACCAGAATCCAGTTGTTTCCATTTCAGTCGAAGTTATTTTACACAGGAAGTCTCCCCATCTTCTTTTATCAGAAACTTTTCTGTTTCTGGAGGCTTTTTGTTTRTTTGACCTCTTTTTGTTCAGCCTCCCTCCTCTTTATCCTGGAATGATGGGGTTAAAAACAAACAAACAAAAAAGAAAAAAACAAATCTAGGCTGACTCTTTAGCTGCTGCTGCTCCATTTTTCTCCTCCGCCTCTCCTCCCCCTTTGTCTTTTTTCTTGCTCCCTTTCTTTTTCTCTTTCTCTAGCTTCTCCTTCTCCTTCTTGGCCCTCTCCTTCTCAGCCTTCTCCTTCTCCTTCTTTTCTTTCACCTTTTTCTTCTCGTCCTCCTTCTCCTTCTTCTTGTCTTCTTTGCTCCTCTTCTTCTTCTTCCCGTCGTCCTCAGAGGAGGCCGACGGCGCCGCTTCCCTCGGGGGCTCCGGGCACGGCTGCAGGGGGGCGTTGTTGGCGGTGGGAGACGGGATGGAGGGGGTGATGTGCTCGGAGACGATGACGGGGGTGGGGGACAAGGTGTTGGGCGGGGCAGCTGGGGGAGGAGCCGGGGGAGGAGTCTGGCTCGGAGCCGAGGCGCCCTCTGCAGCGGGGTGGGGCTCTTGGGCTGACCCGGCTGCACCCCCGGCTAAGGGGCTCTGAACGTGGGGTGTCGTCGGCTTCTGGCCTGGAGGAATGGGCGGTTTCTGGGCGGGGCCTCGGCTCGAGCTTGCAGGCGGAGCTCGAGGAGGCGGGGCTTCCATTCCCGAAACGCTGGAAAAGGAGCCTTTCTTAGCTTGGGTCTGGAAAGGAGCCTTAGACTTACGGAAGCCAGGGAGCGAGAGCAGGCTGGAGGAAGCCCGGAGGGGTCCCGGCGGCGGGATGGAGCTTCCRAGGAACGACAGGCTGCCGCCCGAGCTGATGGCGGCGGCGCGGCGCTTGTACTCGTAGATGGCTCTYGTACCGTGGAAGCGGCGGGCGGGCTGGTGCATCAGCTCCCCCCTGGACTCCCCCCACTTCCTCACCTGGACGCTGCACTCCCTCTCGATGAGAGCCTCAGTCACAGGGAGCGACACGACCTGGACGCAGACAGACAGAGGAAGTGAACAAGTGACTSGTGTTTGTGAGTAAAAACAGCTCGCAGACGCACGGACTCACCTCCTGGACCAGCACGTCCTCTCGGATCGTGTCAGGTGAGATGTTCCTGAGACGCTCCATGGTCTCGTACATGCCCTGGAGCTCCCGGAGTTTGTCCACGGAGCCCAGCATCTGTTTGAGCAGCACCAAGCCCACACGGAAAACTATCTTCACTCCTAAAAGCAGAGGTTGAAAATTAGTTTTCAGTAAAGCCACTTGTTGCAATATTTAAAAGTAAAACCATCAAATAAAAAAATATCTACACAGTAAAAAACAATGTGTCGTTTTAACRCCTAGAGCAGGGCTATTCAACATCCGGCCCGCCCAATGGTTCTTTTATCTCTTAATCCCAAACCTCCAGTTTTCTACTTTAATTCCTCTTTTAGTTCTTTTAGTTAAACACAGACGTGTGYGGTATCTATAGAAACATCTGAATCTTGGCTACAAGCTGGTAAAAACATTTCTATGAACACTCAAGACAGTTAAAACTACAAACAGCTGAAGATAAAAACTATAAAAGTGAAAATAAAATTGGTTTAAAAAGTTAGCAAGTCAGAGATGTCAAAATAAGATTTGTTAAATAGGTGGCATTATGTGATATTTTTGTTTTTGATCATTTTATTATCACTACTTTTATAGGGTTCTGCATGTTGTTCATGGTTAAATGCAGCAAAATAAATTATTTCAAGGTAACAGATCTTTATAATACTTGGTTTATTTACATAATAACTTTAATTGCTGGATGTTCGGCCCCTGAGCTGTTGGCCTGCAGTAACTGTGGCCCCCAGAGCAGGTTAGTTGAATAGCCTTGTCCTATAGAGTTGAATTTAACTCTGTTTCATATAATATTTGGTCCCACCCAAAAATAGTGTAAAATCTACTCTATAGCCAGTGTCAACTTTTCAGAGTTAATTTTACTAGTTTTAGTGTCAAAATCAACAATGAAATGAGTAAAATTATTTAACACTTTAGTTCGGTTACACTCTACAAAGTAAAAATGTTATTTTTATAGAGTTAATT